CTCCAGGACCTAAATGTGAGAACTAACGCTGTAACACTCTTAGATGAAAACACAGGCACAAATCTTTGTGACCTTGGTTAGGCAAGTTTCTTAGATATGACACCAAAATCACAAGCAACCAAAGAAAAAGTCATAAATTGGACTTTATTAAAATTTAAAACTTTGAAAAAAATTGAAAAGGCACCCCACAGGAGAAAATATTTCCAAATCATCTATGAATATGAAGCTTTTATACATGTATATTTATAACTGAATCATTTTGTTGTACACCCAAAACTAACACATTATTAATCAGCTATACTCCAATATAAAATAAATTTTTTTTTAAAAAGCTTGTATTCATAATATATAAAGAACTCGTACAGTGCAGTTGTAAAAAGTCCATTAAAAAATGGACTAAAGGGACTTCCCTGGTGGTCCAGTGGCTAAGATTACATGCTCCCAGTGCAGGGGACCAGGTTTCAATCCTTGGTCAGGGAAGTTGGTCCCACATACCACAGCTAAGACTTGAGGCAGTCAAATGAATAAATAAATAAATATTAAAAAAAAAATGGACTAAAGACATTCCTCCAAAGAAGATATTTGTTGGAATGGCCAATAGGCATATATGAAAAGATGCTCAACACCTTTAGCTATCAGGGAAATGCAAATTAAAACACCATGAGATACCAGTTCACACCCACTAGGATGGCTGTAATAAAAAAGATGAAAAGGGAATTAATTCCCTGACAGACCAGTGCTTAGGACTCCATGCTCTCACTGCTGAGGGCTGGAGTTTCATACCTGTTTGGGGAACTAAGATCCTGCATGCCCTGGGGAACTGCCAAAAGGAAAAGTGAAAAATAAAAAAGGAAAGTGTTGGCTACAGTGTATATAAACTGGAACCCTCATATACTGCTGATGGGAATGAAAATGGTGCCACCACTTTGGAAAACAAGTCTGGTAGTTCCTCAAAAGGTAAGCCATATAATCCAGCAAGTCTCTCTTATATACCCAGGAGTTCACACAAAAACTTGTACATGAATGTTTACAGAAGCATTATTCAAAATGGAAAAAAACCAGATGTCCATCAATGGACAGATTGATAAAATGTGATATACATTAATACATACAGAACATTATTTGTCAATAATAATAAATTAAGTACAATTGATCCTTGGAAAACATGGGGGTTAATCCACGTGTTACTTATCATTGGCCCTCGGCATCCATGGATTCAGCCAACAGTGACTGTATAGTACTGTAGTACTTACAATTGAAAAAGTGCTAACTTGGATTGTTTAAGGATCAGCTGTACTGATAAATGCCAAACATGAATGAATCTTAAAAACCTGCAAGTGAAAGGAGCAGTCATGAAAGGCCACATATTACATAATCACACCTATATGAAATGCCTAGAATAGGCAGATCTATAGAGCCAGAAAACAGATTCATGGTTGCCTAGATTGGCGAGGGTGGAGTAAAGTGGGGAGGGACTGCTAAATGTTTAAGGGTTATCTTTTGGAGATGATGACAGTGTTCTAAGGTAGACTGTGGTGGGAATTCCCTAGTGGTCCAGTGGTTAGATTTGGCTTTTTCATTGCTGTGGCCTGGGTTCAGTTCCTGCTTGAGGAACTAAGATCCCACAAGTCAGGTGGTGCATTCAAAAGCAAAAAAGAAAAAGACTGGTGATGGTTGCACAATTCCAGGAGTATACTAAAAACTATTGAATTGCACACTTTGAATTGTACATGAATTATATCTCAAGGCAGTAAAAAATATTTTTTATTGCCTCTGCACAGTAATAGGAGTTTTTCAAACTTTGTTAAATACCTGACATGTTTAGGTTGAATCTCTACTACTAATTTTCTACTTGGTTCATTTGCAGTGCTGTAATGTTTATGTTGTTGCTGATATACAACTTAGAAATAGAAAGCTTGCTTTTACCCTGTGCTCTTTTTTCACCACTTCACCCCAAGAGTTTCTGAGTTTAGTATACTACAGAAGTAAAAATAATCTTGTTCTGACTTGCAACATGAATGTTAGTAAGAACATCTCACAGTAAAAATCTCACCCTTCTGAATCTTAGCCATGAATAAAAGGTTGGGGGGTGCTGGTGACAGAACAAAATCCATCCACTGAAGCTCCTTCCCTTAGATCGTTGGAAAACCATCAGGCTCCTTCCCAGCCTGTTTGCTCTTATTTTCAGTTCAGTTCAGTCGCTCAGTCGTGTCCTACTCTTTGCGACCCCACGAACCGCAGCACGCCAGGCCTCCCAGTCCATCACCAACTCCCAGAGTCCACCCAAACCCATGTCCATCGAGTCAGTGATGCCATCCACCCATCTCATCCTCTGTCATCCCCTTCTCCTTCTGCCGTCAATCTTTCCCAGCACCAGGATCTTTTCCAGTGAGTCAGCTCTTCACGTCAGGTGGCCAAAGTATTAGAGTTTCAGCTTCAACATCAGTCCTTCTAATGAACACCCAGGACTGATCTCCTTAGGATGGACTGGTTGGATCTCCTTGCAGTCCAAGGGACTCTCAAGAGTCTTCTCCAACACTACAGTTCAAAAGCATCAATTCTTTGGCACTTAGCTTTCTTTATAGTCCAGCTCTCACATCCATACATGACCACTGGAAAAACCATAGCCTTGACTAGATGGATCTTTGTTGGCAAAGTAATGTCTCTGCTTTTTAATATGCTGACTAGGTTGGTCATAACTTTCCTTCCAAGGAGTAAGTGTCTCTTAATTTCATTGCTGCAGTCACCATCTGCAGTGATTTTGCAGTCCAGAAAAATAAAGTCAGCCACTGTTTCCACTGTTTCCCCATCTATCTGCTATGAAGTGATGAGACTGGATGCCATGATCTTAGTTTTATGATTGTTGAGCTTTAAGCCAACTTTTTCACTCTCCTCTTTCACTTTCATCAAGAGGTTCTTTAGTTCTTCCTCACTTTCTGCCATAAGGGTTGTGTCATCTGCATATCTGAGGTTATTGATATTTCTTCCAGCAATTTTGATTTCAGCTTCTGCTTCCTCCAGCCCAGCGTTTCTCATGATGTACTCTGCATATAAGTTAAATAAGCAGGGTGACAATATACAGCCTTGACATACTCCTTTTCCTATTGGGAACCAGTCTGTTGTTCCATGTCCAGTTCTAACTTGCTTCCTGACCTGCATACAGGTTTCTCAAGAGGCAGGTCAGGTGGTCTGGTATGCCCATCTCTTTCAGAATTTTTCACAGTTTATTGTGATCCACACAGTCAAAGGCTTTGGCATAGTCAATAAAGCAGAAATAGATGTTTTTCTGAAACTCTCTTGCTTTTTCAGTGATCCAGTGGATGTTGGCAATTTGATCTCTGTTTCCTCTGCTTTTTCTAAATCCAGCTTGAACATCTGGAAGTTCACGGTTCATGTATTGCTGAAGCCTGGTTTGGAGAATTTTGAGCATTACTTTACTAGTGTGTGAGATGAGTGCAATTGTGCGGTAGTTTGAGCATTCTTTGGCATTCCCTTTCTTTGGGATTGGAATGAAAATTGACTTTTTCCAGTCCTGTGGCCGGCCACTGCTCAGTTTTCCAGATTTGCTGGCATATTGAGTGCAGCACTTTCACAGCGTCATCTTTCAGGATTTGAAATAGCTTAGCTGGAATTCCATCACCTCCACTAGCTTTGTTCGTAGTGATGCTTCCTAAGGTCCACCTGACTTCACATTCCAGGATGTCCGGCTCTAGGTGAGTGTGAGTGATCACACCTTTATGATTATCTGGGTTGTGAAGATCTTTTTGTACAGTTCTTCTGTGTATTCTTGCCACCTCTTCTTAATATCTTGTGCTTCTGTTAGGTCCATACCATTTCTGTCCCTTATTGAGCCCATCTTTGCATGAAATGTTCCTTTGGTATCTCTGATTTTTCTTGAAGAGATCTCTAGTCTTTCCCATTCTATTATTTTCCTCTATTTCTTTGCTCTTATTTTGCGTAGTGTTGAAATCAGATCACCAGTTTTCAGACCCAGCAGATTAGACACATTAAGTTAGAATGAGTGTAAAGCATGTACTGTTGATTGACTTGTGCTCTCCCCATTCATATACTGACACGCTGACAATGTGATTGACACCCACAATGTGATATTTAGAAATGGGGCTTGCTTGCGAAGTCGTTTCAGTCATGTCCGACTCTTTGTGATCCCGGGGACTGTAGCCCGCCAGGCTTCTCTGTCTATAGGATTCTCCAAGCAGCAACACCGGAGTGGGTTGCCATTTCCTTCTCCAGGAAATGGGGCCTTGGGAGGTATTAGGTTCAGGTGAAATCCTGAGGGTGGGGCTCTCACAGTGGGATTAATGCCCCACCAGAAGAGACACTTGCTTCTCTCTCCCTCATGAAAGGACACAGTGGGAAGGTGTCTACACGTCTGGAAGAGAGCGCTCAGCAGAAACACACTAAACTGGTGTCTTTGTCTTGGAAATCTCAAGAACTGTGAGGAAATACATTTCTGTGTAAGACACCCAGTCCAATATGTGGTATTTGATTATGGCAGCCAAACTGACTTAAGACATGGAAAAAAGATGGTTCTTAGCCAAACAGTGAAGGAGAGACACGGAAACTGGTGGGGAGGGCCACCAGCACAGCCTTGGCTATCTGAGTCCTGTTTGGTCTACGGAGAATACAGGTCATCAACTGAATAGGCCCTGAGTCTTCCTGGGTCACAACATAGTATAATAAATGAATTTCGTAATCACCCTGATGCATCAAGAAAGGGTTGGATTGTTTTCTGTTTAAGGTAGTAAAAAGTTTTAAAATTTGTATTGGAAAACTTTCCATCCTAAATAATTGAAACTTGATCTAAGTTTTCTGCTCTCCAGAATGATTCATTCTTCATAATTTCAGCTGCCTTTTTGAACTGTTACTAGTTCTTATTTTTCAAAGCAAAGAAAGTGAAGGTAACTTTCTACTTTCATTAGTGTAAAATTATATTTGAAACAGTATATAAAACTTCGTCTTCTTTAAACCCTGTTTTCCAGGAACTCGAATCATTTATGATCGAAAGTTTTTGTTGGATCGTCGCAACTCTCCTATGGCTCAGACCCCACCCTGCCATCTGCCCAATATCCCAGGAGTCACCAGCCCTGGCACCTTAATTGAAGACTCCAAAGTAGAAGTAAACAATTTGAACAACTTGAACAATCATGACAGGAAGCATGCAGTTGGTAAGAGATGCTGGTGTTAGGGACCAAGAGATAGCCCTGTGATTCGAGTAGTCTGAAGAAATGTTGATGCTTCAGTTATAATTGATTTTCGACTGAAAACACATACATCTCTGGGGTTCCCCCCCAGCCCTCACCAAGACTTACTGAGATGTTCTGGAAACCTGAGTTTTAAACCATAGCCAAATCTAATCTAGGAGAGGGGTGGGGGTGAGGAAGAGTCCAAAATCAGGGAATGGTAAATCCCAAAGATGACTTCTTGAGTCTGGATTTTGTTGGACTAGGGATAACACACACACACAAAGCAGAATTTAATAACTCCCATTTCCATCACCCTCGGGAAATAGACCTTATTTCTTATAAAGAGAATGTCTTTTTTATGGTGTAGGGAAAAGCAGTATTGTTTTTCACCCTATTTTCAGGATAGCCTATTTCGGTAAACACACCCCCCTTCCACGCCCCGCACACTCACACACATGTTTACCATTAATAATAAGTCCTATCCATGACTGTGGAAATGGCCAGCTCCTGAAGTATACCTTGGGTTGCACTCCATGACCCCTGTACATGAGCCAACTTTCTACTTTCTCCAAATTCCAAAGGAGTTTTTGATGGACTGTGTGTCATTCTGAGTAGGGCTAAAAGTTCAGAGCTTCCAGAAGAGTGTGCTGACTCGATAAATGGCCAAGAGTTCTCTAGAAGCTCCTGTTTGGTCAACCTCGGACAAAGGAGAGTGAAACTTGGAAAGTTTTCACTTGTATTCTTTCTCATAATTGTTCCTGCCTGTGGGTGATATGACTGCCACTCTTTTGTTGGCCTCCCCCACCCCCAGATTAAAAAGACCAGCCAGGGCAGAGAATAGTTGTTTCAAGGCTACAGAGAAGGGACAGTTTGAATTCTTTTTTGACTCTTGTGCAGAGGGAATGTTAGTTAAAATTGTTTTGCTTTTCCTTTTTGTGCCCAACTTTTCCTTTTCTTCGTTCTAACCAGGGGATGATGCTCAGTTTGAGATGGACATCTGATTGTCCTTCGAGGATCAGAAGAAAAGCAGCAACACTGATACATGTGTGTTCCTGATTTGGCTGATAGGATCATCGATACAAAGACAGAAGAGGCAGTACCAGCAATCCCCGTTGCTGTCTCCTCCCCTCTCCCCCTCCCCCTTGTGCCAAAGGATGCAAAGATGAGCTGCATCTGACCATTTCTTCTCCCTGTTTCCTGTTCCTCTTCCCAGTTAGACAGTTAGATTGAAGACTCTTGACATATTTCTGTAGAACTAAGCAGCCCATAGAGGAAAACAGTTAAACTCTGGTCCCCCTGCCCCCATTTTTTTTTTTTTATCCCAAATCCATATCAACCTACTAATAACTCATTGGCTGGGGAGTCTGGGGAAGTGATACAGAGGTTTGATGGGTTCAGCATCATTCCTGTTCTTAACTCTCTCTCCTCACTGTCCTGCCCATGTTTCAGTCTTGCAAGAGCCTAGGTTTGGGGGTCTTGAAAACCATTGGAGGGAAATGGTAAACAGGAAGAGAGCTGCTTTCCCTTATACCTTGTGGTGTTTGTCCTTGGGGATAGTACACAGTTCGTACAACTCTAGTAGCATTACCTGGGGCACTGTTTTGAGGTCCACTTCCTCTCCTTCCTCTGGGAGGAACATACTCTGTCTTTAGTATGCTAGTTCATCTTCCCGTTCCTTTACTTCACACAGTTGTGCAGACCTTTTGTAATTCTACATCCGAAGGGAGTCCCCTGTCACCAGTTGTTCTCTGCTCCCCTTCTCCCATCCCTCCCTGCTTGCATCTTGTTGCCTGTGGTCCTTTTGTTCCCTGAGCTATCCAGGTGATTTCTCCTGCTCCCGAGCAGGCCCCTTCCCCAGGACAGAAGCACTTTGGATAGGCCTGACAGTACACTCTGCAGGATGATGCCCGAGAACAACCTCGGCAGACGCTGAACCGTTTTGAGTACCCTACCCAGGCTCAGTCATTGCTTCTCAGTCCAGTGAGCATTGCGATATTTATTGTCTCCAATTTTTGAGTTTAAAGTTGACTTTGAGAGTGCTCTTAGCAAAGAACTACTCTTTTTTCCTTTGTGGACCTGCTTTCTTTGGCTGCTGAGATAGATAAGCATGGGCTTAAAAATGTGTTCCTTCCGTTTTCTTACCTTTCCCATGGTACTCTGAATTCCCCTGTCTTTCCCTTCCTCCTTCCCTTTTCTCTGCCAGGCCATTTTTCAAATGTACATCCAGGATACCTCACCTGTTGGTATCTGATAAGATCTGTCACTCCTCTTATCTGAGGAGTGACCTTTTATTTTTAAGATGAGTACAGACCTATTTTTAGATATGTTTTCAGTACAATTTTGAACAGCAACTTTTTAATTGTACATCTTCCAGTGTTAGGAAGGTGAGAACTGTTCCTTGGCGAGTCTGCTGCTCCATGTCACTAGCCCTTGTCTCCCCAGTCCCGTGTGAGCTTGTTCCTCTCGCTCTAGCATTGGCTGTGCTCGTCTGGAGTTTGTAGTGGAGGGACTGTGAGACTGGGCCATTCTGCCTTCCCTGGGTTGTTCATGGTCGCCTCATTCTCTCCCTTAACCCTCTGCTGCTTCGTTCCCCACCCCATGGTCCTGACTGTTGACTGGCATGGGAGTCCTGGGAGAGTGACTCCCCTCACGGAAAGACAAGTAAAATAGCCACTGATGTCCTGGGAATTTCTGATTGGATTTGGTGCTCCGAACCCTCTTTTTAATAGATCAGATCCCAGGGTGAGAGTACCAGGCCAATTGACTAAGACGGAAAGCTGTTTTTCTTTTGAACTCTGAAAAGACCCTGTTTGCGCATACATTTTAGAAGAGAGGGAGGATGTCTGAGGAACTTTGTTCTGTTTTCTGCTATAAAATGTGAATAGTTCAAAGAGTGAAACCTTTTGTGATGGTTGATGTCTCAGGAATAAGCTGGATCTCCACGGTTTTGGAGATGCTTTCAGTCTCAAGAATTGATGATCAGAAAAAGATTTCTTACTTGCTTTTTTAATGTATCTCTGTTCTGATTTTTATTAAACTCCAAATTTCACTTTACTTACTCTTGGAAGAACTCACGGTGTGTTGGTAATTTCCATGACGAGCTTGCACAGGACTTCATTGTCCCCTGGGAGCTTGATTCTTTGGGAATGAAGCTAGCTTTCTCCACATCCCCTGGAACGTGACTCCACTACAGTGAGTAGTCAGTCTGTCAGTGAGCAGAGTGCATGCCCTGTTGGGTCTTTACTGCTGCATGTGAACACTCGGCTCCCTCATTGAATAGTGGGTAATTAAAGCACCAGCTTGAGTAGCCTCAAGACACCATGACCCATGCTATCTTGAGGAGTCTGCACATGGCCTCCTAATCAGAGGCTGTGTTTCTAGTATGTCTTGGGAGCATCAGCTGTATAATATAGCAGCTGTCCATCCTTTACCCATCTCTGTAAGGATCTCCATAGTGCTTGATGCAGTTCTTTCCTGGAGGCCACTAGATTTACTTTGGCCTCCATAAATCGGCGTTTTAAAGATAATCTCACAAGGTAATAGATAAACTTTCAACAGATGAAACCTTTGTGCCATGCCCCATAGAATCATTTTTCAGGGCAAGCCAGAATCCAGTAGGTGGTTTACTCCTGGGTGTGTTCTTATGCTCAATAGCTCAGTTATGTCTGACTCTTTGTGACCCCACCAGACTCCGCTATCCATGGGATTTCCTAGGCAAGAGTACTGGAGTGGGTTGCCATTTCCCACTCCAGGGGATCTTCCTGACCCAGGAATTGAACCCACATCACTTGCGTCTCATGCATTAGCAGGTGAATTCTTTACTACTGAGCCACCTGGGAAGCCTCCTGAGTATTTGGAAGGAATCATTTAAGAGTTGAAGCCCTAAATGAATAATCTATCTGGGCCTTTTCCTGGAGAGGGAACCACCCTTAGGGTATCATTTGAGTGAGATGGTTCTTAAAATCTTACTAATTATTTGTACTTTTCTCCTTAGGAGAAAACCATGTTTCTCTACTTCTGGGGACAGTCCATCTTAATGAGAAATGACCTCCTCCCTCCAAATTCCAGCAGGAGATGTGCATTGTCATGGTTCTACCTCCTTCATAGTGTGGTGACTTGAGTTCACCACTGTCTTGTATCCTGTGTAAATAGCTACTGTGTTCTCTAAAGCACAGTGTAGAGAAGCCAGTTTCTACCTATTAAGCTTCCAAGCCAAGAGTTTTATCCTTTATCTTTGTTATCTGTTGCTGTTTAACAGGTTATCCCCAAACTTAAAATCTCTTTTAGAGCAGACATTATCTGTCAGTTTCTGTGGTTAGGACCTGGGAAGCAGCTTAGCATGGTGATATTGGCACCATAGGAAGTTGCAGTCAAGACTTCAACAGGGTCTACAGTCACTTGGGCCTTGAGAATCCACTTCCAGGCTCTCTTTGTGAGCAAGATGCCTCAGTTTCTCCCTCTGTGGGTCTCTTTAAGGCAGCACGAGTGTCCTCACAGCATGGCAGTTGTCTTCCCGTGAGCACACGATCCCAGAGTGGACAAGGAGGAATCTGTAGTGCCTTTTATGTCAGTCTTCGAAATCAAATCATTGTACCTTCCTATCCCGTTCCTTAGAAGCAAGCCACTAAGCCCAGCTACACTCAAGGGAACTGGGGTCACACCCCACCTAGTGAATGGAGCAGTGTCAGAGAATTTGTGGATATACCTTAACACGACCCCTCCCCCAGCAGGGTGAAACTCAGTCAGCAAGAAGGGCTAGGTTTAAACTAGAGGCTATACTGAGAGAGATGGTGTTGCTGAGAATAGTTCTCTAAGATGTACACTAACAAACAGATGAAAAATGGACTGTCCATAACCACCTGCCAGTTTTGAGAGGGTTGGCAAGAAATGGCAATTTACAGGGTCATATTTGTACATTTTCCTGTTGTATACTACCAGTGGCCCAAGGATGCTTAAGTCCTTGACTTGAACCTCTAAAAGATAATACTCCTTGCTCATTTTCTCCTTTAGCCAGGAATTGACAAAGGGCATTGGATCCTTCTCGTTGAGCCACTCAAATGGATCAGTCGGGGTTGTCAAACAAAGGGAGCAAACATGAATTAGAAGGTGGGTTACTGGGCTGAAGAACAGCTAACCATTCAGATTCAGAGTAACATAGCTGATAGTATCCAGAAGCCAGGTCCCCACCAGTTGATGCTTGGCACCTGCTCTCTCAAAGCACGCCAACTAAAGCAGACTGGGGTGAGGTCTCCCACCCAAAAAGCCACCTCAGTAAATGGGGGGACATCTGGGAATAAGAGATATCTGTCTGTGCTTGATCTTTACATCCAGTAAACGTTAACTCTGCACACCTGCCTCACCCTGGGCTTCCTGACGGAAACAGGTTCTTAGAACTAATCATGTCTTCACCCTTGAGAGAAGCTTTGATGAAGCTTGTCAGTTTAGCACATTTTTAGTGAATGTCCTGTGTCCCTGGCACCAATGCCAAGTTTTTGGGGATTTCAGACATCTTAAGGATGTAAATTCTTTAGATTTACGCTCTGACATTTCCCAGCATTTTCTTATCTATAGCCCTGCTTGCTTTAGAGTATACTTGAATAAAAAGCAAGGCTGCTAAGGCAGCTATTTAAAAAAAAGAAGAAAAGGTACTTCTAGAATAAGGAACTTGTCTTTAAAGCACCTTCAAATGAAATTTTTTTACTTCTAATTTTAAGGTGGAGTCAAAATAGATGGTCTTTATTTTTGCTGTCTGGGTTACCAGCTCTTTGCATCTCTCACACCTCAACTTCCCAGTTCAGACATTTCCTGCTAGATATGTGGGCTTTACCCCAGAGGCTGTTGCTTAGCCAGTGCCTGCTTTGCATCAAGGCACCTGGTGTAAGGTGCTCATTGAATTGGCAGCAATATTCCAGAAACAATCCTTTTCTGTTACCTTGGAGACTTGATGGGATATCAGCATCCTGGCTGTTTGAAGCCAGGGCCCTCAGCCCCTTACATTCCC